TGTTGGATAAAGACTGGTCCAGGGTACTGGAGTAGGTACATATGGGTGGATAAAGACTGGTCCAGGCTACTGGAGTAGGTACAAGAGGATGGAAAAAAACTGGTCCAGGGTACAAGAGTAGGTACATATGGGTGGATGAAAACTAGTCCAGGGTATGGAGTAGGTACAAGTGGGTGAAAAAAGACTGGTACAGGGTACTGGAGTAGGTACAAGTGGGTGAATAAAGACTGGTACAGGGTACTGGAGTAGGTACAAGTGGGTGAATAAAGACTGGTACAGGGTACTGGAGTAGGTACAAGTGGGTGGATAAATACTGGTACAGGGTACTGGAGTAGGTACAAGTGGGTGAATAAAGACTGGTACAGGGTACTGGAGTAGGTATAAGTGGGTGGATAAAGACTGGTACAGGGTACTGGAGTAGGTACAAGTGGGTGAATAAAGACTGGTACAGGGTACTGGAGTAGGTACAAGTGGGTGAATAAATACTGGTCCAGGGTACAAGAGTAGGTACAAGTTGGTGGATAGAGACTAATCTGAGGTACTGGAGTAGGTACATTTGGGTGGATGAAAAATGATACAGGGTAATGGAATTGGTACACAGCGAATGAAGTTATTTTGAAAAGAAACATGCAATGAACACGGCTGGAGATACAGTTTATTTTGACTATTAGAAATGCATGCAAGAAATGACAATATGATTACATAGCTTTAAAATTACTTTTGATGGTTTTCTATTGTGCAAAAAAAAAATTACCCTGGAACTAAGATTACAAATATTTTTAATACAGGCATACATTTATCAAAGTGAAAATGATTAATAATTACCCTGCTCTGTAGAATGGTCATCAGACCAATGGTAAAATTAGAATAGTGAAAATCACAAACTCAGGGTACCAATTATTTTCACATTAGGAAAATATTCAAATGTTTGTTTAACAAAACAGTTGTGCGTTGGATATCTCCATTTATTAATACTGATGTATTGTGTTTTACATAGATGACATTTGACCCAGCAATTGCTTTAATTTTGTAGTGTTGAACTTTTCACTGTGACTTTTTGGAAATGTTGTGGACGTTGAGAAATTGTAAGCAGTAAATATTCAACTATGAATCTTTGCTTGAAATGAAACACTGCAATTACGTTATAATTTTTACTTTCATTTTAAATATTTCATTGAAATGTTAAGTAAACAATTTAATAGCAAATAAATAAGCATCTTTGAGATTAGAATAATATCTAAACAAAATCACAACAAATGGCAAATATATGGCCATGAGTTTGTGATTTTCACATTAAGTAGATCTCTGTTAAAGAAATAATGTAAATACACATAATTTTGACAAGTACAGCTAAAATAAAAATTTTAATCCTAAAACATAGTCCAACTTTGCCTATAGAGGGGGCAATATAATTCATTATTTAATGTATTTATAAATTTGAAGGGCGGTGGTCATCCCGCCACACATGCACAAGATACGAATATCGTATAAACAAAGATGGCGATTTTGACTGTTGTACAACTGAGATTTAATTAGATAATTTCTTTGGTGATTGGAAGGCACCAAATAAGTCATCAATGGTACTTGGCACTGAGCCCAAGTCAAAACTTGTACTCATGATTTCCATTGAATTGTGGGAAAATTAATGTTTATCACACAAATGTCGCACATGTCCCAATGACAAACACAAAATATTTCCATATATTCTAATCTTTTGCCCACTTCTAATCATAATTCTTTTTGCAAGACATGACAAGAAAACACTTGTATGATGACTAAATCACAGACCATACAATAACTGAACTTTCCGTTTACAGTAAAACATTGAAAACTTCACTGAGAGTTAAACCAATATTTTCAGCATCACCAATAACCTTACATTTCATAATTGGCATGCATACTAATATTACAAAGGTTTGGGTCAGATCAGTTTCACCATTCTCTGATGTTTTGGAGCAACAGATTAAACAGAAATTGGCTACTGAATATGAAATGTTTACCAGTATTTACCACCTCATTATCCTTGCTCTTCTTTTTTGAATAAAGTCTGTCATTTTGATGAACTATGTGTAGGTTTGGATCTAATCTCAATATACTAATATTTAAATAACATGAACAAATAAATAAAAAACTATACATCAGAAAATAAGCTAAAAATATGGAGAACAAGAATCTGTGAAGACTAAATCCAGAAGTGAATCATGTAGAATCAGCATGGACTGAATCAAAAAGTAAATCACATATGAATCAGAATCAGAAGTTAACTTCAGCAATTTATTTTGAAATGACATTCTCACAAGATTGAAAGGACGGATGCATTTTTGTTTTCAGAATAACATTTTGTTTTCTTTTATCATTATATAAGCACTATTGAAAAATAGCAAATGGAAGAGTTCGCTTCATACTATTTGATTCACCCGGCATATGTACATGCTATTAAAGCCACAATCACTATAAAAATTCATTTATTTTGTATAATTGGTTTCATATGATCTAAAAACTGATAAATGAAATCACAGAAAAACTTGCATGAGTAGGAAATTCATATCAACTTTAAAAAGAATTGTTTTTAATTAATTTTGAACATCGATAATTTGGAGAATAAAGCAATGAAAACTTATCAGACCTGACCCAACCTACACCGAATCAACAAGCTGATCTATGAACTGTGAGATTAGTATTGTTATTAGTTGTAAATACAACCATAGGATAAGTGAGCAGTATAAAATACCTGCAAGATTTGTCCCAATGCCTGGACTGAAAATTACAATTAATCCATAATGACAAAACACATTTGAACCATAGAATCTATAGTGTCTGCTTTCAGATAATTTATATTATACATAGAGTACTAAAAACAATAGATTTTACCTTTCTGTAAAAAGATATATTGGCATTCGTTCAAAACATATTGCACTTTGTTTCCAATGTTTGAGATTTCCCTTCCGGAAAAAGGGTTGGTATGGGTGCATGATATACCGGTAGTATTGAACAAGTTTCAGATTATTTACGATGTCGCACTACTTTTACAAATGGTGGAAAGACACTGAATGCAAACAGTCGCTGACATTTTGGGACTGTGATCAATCACTAAATTATGATTACAAGAAGGAAAATGTTTACAATAGTAATCACAAAAGTACCACAAAAGTACTGTAAAACACTTTGAAATAGCTGCATATCATTTTAGCGAATTTGACTCCATGCATGAATTAACTGAATCTTAATTTAGCTACAGTGTCAACAATCTTAGTGTGGGAATATACTCTATTCTAATTAGCGACATCTTAATTTAGCGAAATTGTGGATTAGCTAAATTAGCTAAAATAACACGCTAGCTAAAAAGACATGTTTTACAGTATACACTTAGGCGGTACAGGATCACATTGTTTATATACCATACTGCTTTCATGCATACTACAGGCTAATCTTCTGATAACATCATAGTATAACGTTTTTAAACTTCACTAGTACACATGTAATGAAACTCAGAAATCTGACATTTGGATAATATGTGTTGTTTGTACTCGTTTATTTCACATGACACCATGTGTAAAAGGCACCTGGGAAGACAAAGCTATCAAGCTGTGAATAATATCTTTACAATGATATTAAAAGTAATATTTGTGACCAATATGGTAAGTGAATATTGTGACCTAACAGAGTAATGAAACTATTGTGAATGTTCATTTGTTTCTATAAAAAACAGATTTTCAGAGAAAATCACCAAATTTTACCACAAGAAATGTCTACCAATTAATATACCATGAAACTTAGAAATATACAATATGAATTGAGACAATTGATGCTGTGAGATTATCATGGTAACACAAGATACACATGTGGTCGACTCAACATACCAAAACAATTCTGAAATTGACCACACATCTACCAAAAGACCACATATTTCTGAAGGAAAGATTTGCCATATAAAGCAATCCACGTCAAATATACCGGTAAATATAAAACCACTTCAAATAAGACAACTCATCATCAAAAAGAAGCTGTCAAACTATCATGCCAATAGTGTGCTAAAATTCAAACACTTGGCTAGTATGCCTATTTACGAGTGTCTAAATACTTGGGTGCTCCGCCTACCGGTATTAACCAATGTCCTAAAATTTAAACTTTTGGGTGGTCTGCCTATTTACCAGTGCCTTAAACTTCAAACACTTGAGTGGTCTGCCTATTAACTAATGTTCTAAAATTTAAACACTTGTGTACTCTGCCTATTTACGAGGGCTCTAAAATTTTAATACTTGGGTGGTCTGCTTATTTACCAGTGCCTTAAAATTCAAACACTTGGGTGGTATGCCTATTTACCAATGTCCTAAAATTTAAACACTTGGGTGGTCTGCCTATTTACCAGTGTCCTAGAATTCAAACACTTGAGTGGTCTGCCTATTTACCAGTGTCCTAGAATTCAAACACTTGAGTGGTCTGCCTACGAGTGGTCGGGTGTTCTATTTACACATATGTTGGATGGTCTGTATATACACCACATTTTGAAGGAAACCTTTATCCAGCATGCAACTGAACATTATCGATTCAAAGAACAGATTTACGTTACCGGGTATTAACTCGGAACGTTAAAACACTTCATGTTCACCATGGTAATCACGTTTCATGTCATCTTCAATCAGTATGGCCGAATCAGAGTGTTTGACAGTTGTAATATTTATAACATTATCCAAACCATTTAATAATATCTCATTGGAATTGGAATTAGATCTACTATGTGTTGCTGACGTACTTCCTAGTCGTCTTACAGTCACTGGTAAATTTCCGATATTAATGTCCATATCTTTAAATGCATGCAGTAGGAATATACCAACAATTATCGTCAAAAAACCACAAAAACAACCCGCTATGTCTTTGCCGTTCATCTGCTGCCATTCTCTGAATAGGATTGCTGATGCTGTAATGACACTGGTAGTGAAAAAGACGTAATATATTGGCGTTACCACCGATGTGTTGAAAACGTCCAAAGCTTTGTTAAGGTAGTTCAGCTGCGTGGTAATAAATGTAATCAATGATATTAACAGAATCCAGAATAGTGGATGCATGAGTATAGGTTCACCATTTAGTAGTTGCTTGACTGCTATACCTAGGCCTTTGCATGCCATCACAGACAGCGATCCAATCACAGAGCAGATTGTTATGTATATCAGGACGTTTCTGCTACCGTACTGTGGCGCATAATAAAATATGAGGACAATAGATGCTACAAAGACAATAAATGAATAGGTAATAAAACCTGTAAGAAAGAAGAAGAATTTTTAATGTAGAATAGAAAAATAACATTTTCAATAATATTCTCAGTTGCAGTGTATGGTTGTTCAGATGACAATTACTGGCTGGCGGAAATGTTTTGTGCAATTTTATTTTGGCAGTAGTTGCAATGACTTCTGGGTAAATTTAAGTGTCTATGGCATGCCTGCAAATAACCAAACAGGACAATTATTGCTGGGAGCAAAATTTTATTTTTTACTTTCAACTGTATTTGTTCTATTAGAGGGTCACATGCACCAACAATTGCATTTACTGTATGCTAATTCATTCAAATAAGACTCACTTTGACCAAATACACGCTTGTTGTCTATGTGGAACTAAATAAATATAGTTTATATGACATGATATGTAAAATACCTGGTTGCTGCATCATAATAGAGAGCTGTACCAGTGTTTCTACATTTTGTTCCTGCGGGGCATGAATAATCATCACAGTAGAACCAATTATGCTGAGTGCACACCCAATTTTGCCAAGTAGATTTAGATACTCATCAAGCCAGAATGAGGACATTACAGCACTGAAAAAAAAATACTATGAAGTTTAGTTCAAATGTCTCATTGCAGAAATTTTGGGTTTTGTTATTGCTAGGCAACCACACATGTTAAAAATGTGTTATAGTACATTTCATATGTGAAGGGAATTTCTCTCAGAATTACACAGGGGGATTAATTATACTTGACATACCAGTATTAGTGCAATGTTTGTTTCCACGAGTATCTTCCAGGACATACTTTCAAACTAACATGCAGCTACAACTTGTGTATGAGCAACTGGGACTAAAATCAATATTGACATAGACTATCAGTATATATGTGTATCCTTTCTGTACTTACGCAACAAGAACACTGAGAGCTCCGAGTGGTGTGACTAAAGATGCTGGAGCAAAGGCATAAGCAGTAAAATTGGCAAATTCACCAAGACCCACTAAAAAATATAATAAATTGAAATGCTGTAAGAAATTGGGATGTGAATGTGAAAAACATTGAATGCATATGCAGATTTATTAGAATAATGTTGGTTTGTACTGTGAAAAGATAAAGAGACTGCTACTTTATCAATAAATCAAAGCTTGGGCAATTCACAAAATCATTATTTGATGTGTACAATTTTCCATTAAGATTAGTGTGAAATGCACACCTTGCATTGTTTCCTGTAAAGCCATTATGTCTTTACCTTTTGAATATATAAGATGACTATTTTACTCATATTACCACATTGTCTGAATAAACATTGAACAATAAAAACTTCTGAGGTAAGTTGTTTTGGGAGTACACTTGAAGTACAATTCAAAACAACAATACGTAACAACATTTATTGTAGTGAAAATAATAAATAACAATAAATGGTGCAATATGTCAGATTTTGTAACTTGCAAATGCTGTGACTTTAAGATTTAACTTTAGGCCAGTAACTTAGCATTGAAAAGGCTTTCAACAAATTGTTGCCAATGATACAACTTTAATGTTTTTTTAAAAATTTTACAACTATGATAGACTGTTCTATGAAGTTGAAGCTGCATGTGTGTGGATTGTTCACCATATGATTGCAGCTATAATGTAGTCAATTATTATTGTTTTGTCATTTGAATGAAATACACAAAGTTATTGGATGTAAACAACATATACAGAGGAAATGTTAATTAGTGCTTTAGTCATCACCATAATGACATGTTTACTCACTTGAAAAAA